TTGGTGTTTTTTCAATGTATGCTTCAGACACGGGTCATGACGAAGCGTTCCCCATAGCGACCCCTAGAGGACACAGTGTCTCGTTCCCTACTCAGGGAACCATGGTTACATAAGTAACCTGAGACGTTTTTTTAATAGTCTGTGAAGATGAGTTGGAAGTCATTATAAATGATCTAAATTACAAGTACAATAGCACACAGTGTCTATTTTTTCTCATTAAACAATTACACTACTGTTCAAAAGTTTGGGAGTGGGATTTTATGTTTTTCAAAGAAGTCTCTTTTGCTCACCAAGTCTGCATTTATTTAATAAGAAATACAGTAAAACTGTAATATTGTGAAATATTATTACAATTTAAAATGACTGATTTCTATTCAAACACATTTTAAAATGTAATTTATTTCTGTGATCAAAGCTGAATTGTCAGCATCATTACTCCAGTCTTCAGTGTCACATAATTTTTCAGAAATCATTCTAATATGCTGATTTGCTGCTCAATATACTTATTTGTTATTATCAATGTATTATTCGCATTTAGTTTACTTTTGAACAGTAGTGGTGTATTTACACAGTGATTTGAAGGAACTATCATTCTTACTGAGCAATTTAAATGCATTCTGGGATTGCCTTTTCCAAGAGGGATACATGCAATACCTTAAAATGCTTGATAAAATTTATAGGTAGGCTAGCTTATTTTCTTGGGTCAACCATAATATGTTTTAACCTTCAACAATTTAGTAACCAGTCCAATCAATCGGATGTCTATACCGACCGACTAGTGGAGTGATGGCTGAGGTGAAGACAGAGCTGCTCTGAACAATGAAGGTCATTCCGGCTCCAACAAGCATGGCGAGATATCCAGTGACCCAGGCGAAGGGGAAAGGGAAATCTGGCAACAGTTAAAGCCGTATTAGAAAGGGCATGAACAATATGTTTAGTACATGTATTTATTCCTGGTATTAGGTGATGGTTGCATTAAAACTCCCCTCAAAGCATTGGCTAAAATGTAAGTACAGTATGTGAGGAGTTATGAGCATGTACCTGAGTGTAGTCTGAAACCAACAGCACATGCTCATGCAAACACACCTGTGACACTCAGACACAATCAGGCTCATATAATGTTCCTGTTCAGCTCATCAGACAGCAGGACTGGATCACCTGTGCCGACTATCATACGACAGGATACATGCTAACACACTTCCAGTAAGCGCTGCGCCTACAGGAATGTGATAAGATTGAACTCTGGGAAGGGTGGGGAATTGCCACATGTATGTTTTTAGTTGAAGGCCAAATATTTTCTACATATGTCTTTGTCTTCAACTTTAAGTTCAGTGTTGACACACATTGTCACAAAGAGTGCATACCAGAGGTTAATGTTAGCAATTAGCAGCAGAGCTTATCGGCAGTTGATTAATCTCCGATGTTGACTCACCTGTGTTGAGCACCTTTTTGATGACGACCGCCACCTGACCCTTCAACATGGAGTTCAGCAGCTTGACGATCAGAATCAGGCAGGTGCAGAGGGCCAGCAATGACAGAGCCAACAAAATCAAGCCCACCGCTAGGTCAGGTAGATTAGCGTACACAAACATGTGAGTACCTGAAGAGAGAGAGATGAGGACGACTCTGTCAGGACTTACAGAAATATAAATCAACGTTCATGAAACCTTTGGAAATTTAGTGTCCAGCTTCTCTGCTGGTGGTGGTCAGGTGTAGTTTGATGGTTTTAGAGTAGGGGTGTCCAAACCTGTTCCTGGAGATCTACCTACCTGCACAGTTCAGTTCCAGCACAGCTGTCTGCAGTTATCAAGAGCTCCTGAAGATCTTAATTAGCTGGATCAGTTGTGTTTGGTCAGGATTGGAGCTGAACTTTACAAGAAGGCAGATCTCCAGGAACAGGATTGTGCAACCCTGTTTTAGAGCAGGGGTGTCCAAACTCGGTCCTGTCCTGCAGAGTTGAGCTCCAACCCTAATGAAACACTCCTGCATCACCCGCTGGACGCCAATCTCTCGTGAATGCACGTATGATAGTTAGCGGAAGCTAGAGATTAAGGTTTATAAAGTTGTAAATATGGATATTTTGCTTACACAAACACATCGCGTCGCTTCAGAAGGCCTTTATTAACCGCCCGGAGCCGTGTGGACTTCTTTTTATAATGGATGGGTGCAATTTTTTGGACTTCAAATTTTGGGCTACCATCCACTCCCATTATAAAGCATGGATTAGCCAGGACATTATTTAATATAACTCAGATTGTATTCGTCTGAAAGTAGAATGTCATATACACCTAGGATGGCTTGCGGGTGAGTAAATCATGGGGTAATTTTCATTTTTGGGTGAACTATCCCTTTAATAATTGGCTACTAAGTAAAAAGATGCCATTAAACACATATTTAAAACATGCCATCTTTATGTTGTTTCAACATTAATTTGGAGATTCAATGTGAAATTATGACAAATATATTATATTAATATGCAATTAATCGTGATTAATTACAGAAAAATTTGATTATTTTTTAATCGATTGACAACACTAGTATTTTTATCAGATTACTAACAAAGCTTTATATGCTGATTCTGATTAAAAATCTAAATTAAATGGACCAAATAATATTGCAAATCTTAAAAGATACAGAGGGCTATTTTCAGATATTAAGTACACCTTGACCATTATGCTTGCTTTGAGATTGCGATCATTGCTTTATATGATAGTTCAAACATTTTCAAAATGGGGTCTGGAGACCCCTAAGGGGTTGCATGAGGGTCAGTTAAAACATCCACGTAAGAAAAAAAAAAGTGCAAAAAGTGTAAAAAAAATGAATTAATTTGAAAATAAATGAATAAATAAATGGATTTGGTTCTGACACTGTTTAAATAGCATAAAAATAGTATAAATGGGTGATTTACAGTATATGTAGATGCCTTTATCTTTTAAGAATGGGGTCCCTTGCAAGGGGATTAACAAATTTGGGGGCCTTGGCATTAAAGTTTGAAAAACCTGTGACATAATATACCAACAATGATCTTCAAATTCTCATTTGAGGAGCTGCTGAATGGTGCGTCTTGAAAGTCTGAGCATACTCTTTCACAGTTGAAGGACCACAGAATGATTTCATACTCAAATCCACTGAACCAAGTCGAGGCTGGAATTTTAACATGCAATCTAACTACTTGCATTGATTTAAATCAGCTGAATTCATACCCAGAGCAAAAGCCCTGCTGCCAAACTGGCAGAGGCTCTTTGTTCAGGTGCACTGGCCTCAGGTGCCCAAGGCTGTCATGAAGAATAGCCCTTTTGAAAAGGTAACAGTAGATGGATGGGGTGGTGGGGAAAGGTGAAGCTCAGCATTTAAAAGAAACCATTGTACTCATGGAGGTTAGAGCGAATCGCGATCGATGGCTTAAGAGCTGAAATAAGTCAACTATGTAAGGAAGACGGGAAATGGATTGATATTTGGCTTCAGCTTCTGTTGATCCAGGAAGTTCCTGCGCTGGTTGCTACAAGAGCCACAAAGAAAGCAGAGGCACTTACATTTGTTCAAGTTGATCGTTTCTGTTTGGTTCTCTTGAGTCCAGATCTGGCCGTCCTCCTCCCAGCAGAGGGCGTCAGGCGTGCAGTTTGCAAATCCAGGGACTGTTATATTCACAAGGTTCTGAAACGGACAAAAATACATCTTCAGACCTAAACCTTACATAACAGAGAGAATATGAAGCTTTTGTCCTCGCTATCACTGAATAAATATGTTAATCTAACAGAAATATACCGAATATATAATGGCGCAGAAATAAACTAACAATTCATATTAAGTAATTGGCATTCCTACACTTATTTACTTATAGCGTAATAAAAAAACATGGATGAAAATGAAAAGTGAACAAAAAATTGATTAATTTACATAATATTTGTGAGTGTTACATCTTTTTATGCTCAGTGTCGCTTTGTTAGCTTACCAATATGCTGAAAAAACAATCAACCGAGGATGCATCTGAAATCGCATACTGTATGTGACAAGTTGTATGTCCGAATTCACAGTACTCATAAAAGAGTAGGCAAAAAGTACCAACCCCAGCGTGATTCTGAAGTGTGCATACGATGGGACACTTTACTATCCCAAGAGCCCACAGGAGAGGATTATGAATGGCAGTAGGCGCGTTTCCATTACAGATTTGCGCAAAACTTTGGCAATATTTTATAATTGTCGATAAAAAAGTATTGCGAAATGACGGCGTTTCCATTAACCAATGTTATGCGACTAAAACGTAACCTTTTGCCTCTCGCTATAAGTCATGGCAAAGGATTCTGGCTATATTTATTAAAAGGAGGTGTATGCGTGTATCTTTACAGAAGCAGCACAGAGAGCCGCTTCGGAAACGTGCGTGGCATGGCTGGATTCTGGAATAAACACAAACATTGTGGCCGCAATCAGCTTCAGTGGCCGTAGCAGAGCCACACTGCACCGCAGACGTGTGCAGTGTAAATTATCTAAGCATTAACATTAGGGAAAGCCCTTTATACTGGAGCGCGGCCACTTATGAAGTGTTTCTTGGAGGTTACAGTACATTGAAGAATGATCATATTAATTTTTACATACGCCATGTGACCTGTAAATGCGAAAAAGCCGTTTCCATTGCAGTTTTGCGAATTATTCCTTTTTCGCATTGCCTGAAAAACCACCTCATGCGAGCGTAAAAACTTTTTTGCGATATATGGGCGTTTTTGC